GATCCCCAAATCAATAAAAATCCTGACATATACTTTTTTTTTTTTTTCAAATATACCTCCTTGAAGGATAAACTTCTGCTCAGAGGGACAATATTCTTGCTGGATGCGTTTCTGTAAATGCTTCACAGTTTGAAGACAAAAGAATGCACCTGCAACTTCCCAAAATGCGCCCGAGGTGGAAGCACTTCCTGGCTGATCGGTGTAAACGTTGCGAAACCAGTCTGTGGGTCTAAGAGCTAATGCGGGCATGGCTGTTGGGATGGAGGACCCGCTGTGGCTTGGTCCTGGGTATTGAAAGAGTCTGGATTTTAAGGGCTCATACTGTCCTCCGTGGTCATGCTCCAATAAATTCACTGCTTTGTGGTGCGACCCTTAGGTATTCTGCATTTTCAGCTGTGGAGCCCTTAAAGATGCCATTTGGCTTGGCTTCCTTGGGAAAGAAGTCCTGCTGGTAGTCAGGGTTGTCCAGGCTAATTTGGTGGCTGCCTTTCTGGGCCCAATGAGCAGGGCTGTCGAATGTGCTGTTGACACAGGTGGGCTGGACAGTGTTGAGATACTCGGGGTTGCCCACGGCAGTGCTGTGGGGGTCCTGGTAGTGTGGGTCTCTGCTGGGCGCAGGGTTCAGCGGCTGATTGTGATAGACAGGATTCTGCACAGAGCCAGCGGGCCTTTTGGGAACAGACTGGTTTATGTATTCTGAAAGTGGAAAGAAATCAGAGGTGAAGTAATCGGCAAAGCACCATCCCATGCAAGATCCCCGGGTTCTGAACCCTGTGAATGTCTTCAACAAGGAGACTTATGACAGGGAGCAGGAGCCTTGGGAGGGCCCTCTTGCTGTTGCTGCAAAAGAAAGTGGGTTCTTTCCTGCACTTCTCAAAGTAATGGACACGTGTGTCTTTTGTAAATCTAAAGTTCTCAGAGGATAGCCGGCTTTGAGGACAGTGTGTGTGTGTGTGTGTGTGTGTGTATGTGCATGCATGTGTACATGTATGTGTGGTGTGTATGTGGTATGTGTGTCTGGTGTGTGTATATGTGTGTGTGTGTGTGCTGTGTGTGTGGTGTGTGTGTGGTGTATGTTTGTGTGTGGTGTGTATGTGTCTGTATGTAAGTGTGGTGTGTGTGTGTGGTGTGGGTGTGTATGTGTGTACATATGTGTATGTGGTGTGTGTACATGTGTCTGTGGTGTGGGTATGTGTACATGTGTGTATGTGTGGTGTGTGTGGTGTGTATATGTATGTGTGTGGGGTTTTTGTGGTGTGTGTGGTGTGTATGTGTGTATGTATGTGTGGTGTGTGTGTGCTGTGGGTGTGTATGTGTGCATACATACGTGTATGTGGTGTGTGTACGTGTCTGTGGTGTATGTGTGTGGTGTGTGTACGTGTGTGTGGTGTGTGTGGTATGTGTGTATGTATGTGTGGTGTGTATGCATGGTGTGTGTATATGTGTGTATATATGTGTGTGTATGTGTGTATGTGTGGTGTGTGTGGTGTGTATATGTGTGTGTATGTGTGTGGGGTTTTTGTGGGGTGTGTGGTGTATATGTGGTGTAAGTGTGTATACGTGTATGTGTGTGGTGTGTGTAGTGTATGTGTGTGTATATGTGTGTGCATGTGTATGTGTGTATGCTGTGTGTGGTCTGTGTATGTGTGTGGTGTGTGTATGTGTATGTGTGTGTATATATGTGTATGTGTTAGCAGGTTGTGAGTGTCTGGATAAAGCTTAAAATTTATTAATATTAACTAATATTTAATTAGTTAAATATATGTTTCACAGGTCAAGAATAGAGCCAGCAGAGAGAACAGGGATCAAATCTTACACACACATACACAGATGTACACACATCATGCACACACTCACACACACATGTGTGTCTGTGGTTTGTTTCATAAGCTGGAAATTTTGCAGATTCATTCTTAAAACAGAGGTACAGCAGACAACCCAGACACAACAAGGAGCTTGTGCAGGCTCCATCATGTGTTTATCTGCTCCTTACGCCCTTCACTGTGTCTGCAAATCTGCCACTGTTTCCCCCTCTGGCGATGCTGGAGGGAGCACCTGGCTTGGACACTGGGTGGTGGAGACTGGCTGCTGCTGAGTGGGTCGAGGAGGCTGAGGAGCAGGAATGTTTCCAGACAAGCCACTCACCAGGCACTGGGAGGAAGGTGTCGTCTATGCTGTCCTCAGTCAAGGCGCCTGTGGGGTCTGAGCTGTATCGCTGTAAGAAGCTGTCTTCCTTGATGGGACAGCTTTGCAGCTGCAGGAGGAAATGAGGGAAGGTTACTCCAGTCAGGGCTGCTCCAACTTCAGTGTGTGCAAAAATCACCTGAAATCTCCTTGAGATGCAGGTTCTGATTTGTAGGTCAGGCAGGCCTGAGAGTCTGCACCCTAGCGGGTGCCCGTGCTGCTGGGCCGCAGGCTGCAGGGCGGGCAGCAGGGCTGTGCTGGGTGCTGTCCGGCAGAACTTTCTGCAGTGAGGGAGGTCTGCTATGAGCGGTGCTCTTCAATACGGTCGCCACTAGGCACGTGTGGCTACTGGACACTTCACATGTGTGAGAAACTGAATTTTATATTTCATTTCATTTTAACTTACTAACATTTAAGTTGAAGTAGCCACATGTGGCTAGTGGTTTCTGCATGGCACAGTGCGGTCTAGACCAGAGCCTCACACTTCAACAGGCATCAGCATCACCTGGAAGGTGGCTCCAAGAAAGACGACTGGGCGCCACCCCCAGAGGTCCTGATTTGGTCAATCTGGGGCGGTGGCCTGAAAAATGGCATTTCTAACAAGCTGCAGGTGATGCTGCTACTGCTCCAGGAGCCACGCTTTGAATGGCACTGTGAGGCGTGACAGCCATGCAGGGAAAAACCCACACAGGAAGAAAACTCAGGATTATCTGGGTTAAGATTATTTAGGTTAAGGCATTTTCCACGTATAATAGAGTCGTAGTGCAGAGCTGTAAATGCTGGCTTACAAGGTGTTCATACATACCCCATTTCTATCAATGCAAGCCACAGTGGAATTGTTGCTGGTTGCACTCTGAAAAAGAAACAGAGAAGTTGCCCATGGAATGCTTGTACCGCATCTCATCCACTTTTCCTGAATGCAGGAGGTGTGCCTCATGGAGGGTATATCGTGAAGGTGTTTAATTTTTGTCTTAATCATTAGTTTTAGAGCAACTATGTTTAGTTTTGATTTAATTCTGTTCCATGGTGGACCTAAAAGGCTTACAATCAAGTTGTTGCAATGCAACAAAGTAATACACTTATTTAATTTATTTTGATTTTACCATTTGGTTAAAATTGACTTCATCTCCATGTGAGTTTCACTAGATGGTTGTTATTTTCCCTAAAATTCATTTTGTTCAATTTGAGAGACAGCTTGAGAGAGACAGAGGTTTCATACCAGAGAGCTCAGGAGGGGAGTCCGTGACGTGGAGGGGCTGCTGAAGAAGCCTTGCTGTGGGATGAGGTACTCGTCGGCATCCACCACGTCGTCCATGTCTTCTTCATCCATCAGGGCACGGTAGAAGTTGGAGTCTGTAGGGCTTGGCAAATGCATTCTTTCATCCCCCTGGTGCAGAGATTTTGAGGCTATTAGAATGGCCCATAGAGATGCTATTCCACTTCTTGGCTATAGGAGCAGGGCTCTGTTGCCAGCAGGTGCCTGTGTGTTTGCCAATTTTGTTATAATGAAATCCCCCTTAGTTCTCTGAATTATAGCTGCCTCCCTCATGGCATGTGGGTGCCTTAAAATAAAACATGAACCATCCTTTGATGCTTGAAAGCCCCTACATGAGATGCAAATAGCTTCTGAGGAAACAGGGAAGAAGCTGCAGCGTTCATCGAGTGTGCACCTTGCTGTGAGGTACTAGGGAATGTATTTTGCAACATATCTTATTAAATCTTTGAGACCAATCCTGTGAGCTTGGTTTTGGTATTCCCATGTTATGGAAGGAGATAGGTGGATCGGCTGCCTGGGTGATGGGACGAAGTGGAGAGTCAGGGGTGTGAAGCCAGGTCTGCCTGACACCAAGGCCAATAGACCATGCTTCTCTGTTAGACCCAGCTGAAGTTTTGGCTAGCTGGACAGTGAGGACGAGCGTGGGAGGAGAGTTCAGGCGGGGATGGGGAGATGGAGTTGGGTGGGCCCCACTCACGGACCTGCTTAGTTCATGATGTGGCCTGCGCCTAAACTGAGGCTTGCTCTAATGCACTGGAGGGTTTAATAATGCGATCTGGGACACAGGGAGGCCAGGTTGGCATGTGACAGAGCACAGTGACATGAGATGCTTATTAGAGGGACTCTTCCCAATGGAAGGACAGATTGCGATTTGTACCTGAATAACAAGGTAGCGCTGGGGGTCTCGGGCCATTTTGGAGAATTCAATGATCAACTCACGGAACTTTGGGCGACTATCTGCGTCTATCATCCAGCCTGGGGAAGGAATGAGAAAAAACAGTGCAATTACAACACTGGAAGAAATGATAAAGACGGCATTGCTTAAAGAAGGCATTGGTGATGCAACACTTCCAGTCAAATAAGTGATGAAAGAACCAAGTCTTTGTGGTAGAGTTTTCTGTCTTGGCCAACAGTACTGGTTACTGTTTAAAGACCATGCCAGCACCATACATTTGAATCAGAATAACAATAATGCCCTCTAGTTTTTCTACGCCCACTCTTCCTGCGGTCAGCATCCTGTGTTGTCGCCTGAGGGGACGGAGCAGTGTGGGTCTGTGCAGTTGCTCTCTGTGAAGTATCCTGACTGCAGGGTGCCCTGCACCAAGGTCCTCACTCGACATCCACCCTCAGCATTCCTTCAGGCAGGAAATCAGATGCAACATAGAAAAATAGGCTTTAAATAATTTGGAGTTGGGACCGGGCCCCTGCCCCTGGCGTCTCCAGTACAGCACATACCCAGTGGGCATACATGCAAGTGAGAGGGCTGGCTGTGCTGGCAACTTCCATAGAAGGACACACTGTTAACTGTGCTGCTGCATGTGACTACCCAACAATCTAAATCCAGATTAAACAAGTTGGAGGTACAGCTACTGCCTGGAAATCCTCATGCCTCTTGAGGGATCACATTTATTTTCCGTCCACAGGATGTCAAGCTATTTTAGGCCAGACTGCTATGTAACCTTAGTTGAATCACGTGGCTTCTCTGGATTACAGCTTCCTCAGCTCAAACCAAGGAAGTTAAAAAAGATTAACTCTGTGGTCTAGAGTTCACAAAGGCATTAATATTTACATTAACTTGGCTCTGTCATATTCCCTATACAACTTTCTTTTGCGAATGCTCATCCCGTGTATGTAATGCTACCTCCAGAGCCCACTGCACTCGTGAATCTGGTAGAATAATAGCATCGATCAAATTACACACTCTTATGTGCAGAGACTTCACATAAATCCACTGGTTTAAAAGGTTTAAGTCAAAGCAGAAATGTTGACTCTATTAGCCTTATGTTGTTACTCACTGTAATGCATTTAAAAACATTCAGTCTCTCTGGTAACAGGCTTCAAAATACAGGGCAACTCGGTATTTCATTGAGTAACTCGGCGAATAGAGTATTTCGGTGTAATGGCTTGCGGAAGACTTGTTTTATTTATTTGCTTGCAAACATAGGCAAATGTCAGGTCACACTGCCCAATGAGTCAAGAAGTATCTTTAGAAGAATGCTTGAAGGGGTATTTACAGATGTTTCTGGATTTGTGTGCCTGCCTTAAGTAATGTGATGACATTTCTCCAGGGATGCAAAGGCCCCAGCTGTTTGGCTAAGAGCAGCCACCAAGGCTCAGCTAGGCAGTGTGGACAGCCCCACTGGTCACTCACACTTGACCATGATCATGTAGACATCGATGGTACATATGGGTGGCTGGGGGAGGCGTTCTCCCTTCTCCAGGATGGAGGAGATCTCGCTGGCAGGGATTCCGTCATATGGCTTGGATCCAAAGGTCATCAACTCCCAAACAGTCACCCCTGAGAGGATGAAGCAAGAAAAGAAGGCAGTGGGATCATGAATGAATGGTCACAATCCCTTGCTTTAGTCATCATTACTGGTTACTGTTTCTTGATGTTTAGAAACCTACATTTCTGTAGTCTTGGGCAATTTGCTTCAGTGCTGGAAGCCTTAGTTCACCTCTCTATAAAGTGGGATAAGAACAGTATCTGTTTCATAGGATGGCTGTGAGGACCCAACAAGATAATACAACTGAAATCTGTTGTATTAGCGCAATGCCCAGCAAGTAGTAAGTGACTGATAAGTGGTAAAGTTTGGTAATTAACAATAAAGACAACAGTAACTCTACTAGCATAAATATTATGCT